AATAGAGGGGTTATTAGTTAAATGCATTCAGTTCATAAATACGTTTCTCAGGGTCATGGGGAAATATGTTTACAGTACTATCTCTCATTGTTTCCCGTTATAGTTCCTGCTTCTGTGAGAATTCACGTTATATTCCTGCTTTGTCTTTTTCCCACTTGCACTGGAACTCATTCTCTGGCTCGACCATTTGTTGCCCTCAAACTTTGTGAAAAGTGAAATGACTGTCTGGTGCATTTCTTGAGCATTACATTGGCTCGGGGCTGCCATTGCAGAAACAAAACAAAACAAAAACAAGTCCTCCTCACTTTGTCCCTTCCTCTCAGTTTCACTCTGTTTGCTTTATATCATCTCGTGATTGTTTTCAGCCCTTCCTCAGAAGGGAGTCAAAAGGTGGAGATAACTTCTGGCTGAGAGTCTTTTTCCTTTCTAGACAATCAATAAAGTTGTCTTCACTTTGGAAGAAAACCAAAAGAGAGTTGACGGGATGTTGACAGGGGACCTCACAGAGAGGGAGTCTAAAGCTCTGTTATAAATTATCCATAGTAAAAATAAAGAATAAACATCCTAAACACACACAGAGAGCAGAGTTAACCTTTATTTTCTCTATAAAGAGGACGTAATCCAGGCTTTGCTAAGGTACTTCCGTGTCTCTGAATGGTGTTAGTCCCAGGTTAAGCTGTTTTTGCTACAGAGGAAGATATCTATGGAACAGAGGTGTCGGAGGACTTTGATTTCAACTGAATCAATTCTTGCCAAAGTGGAGTGTTCTGCCTTCTCCGACTCCCAGATGGATTGCTTCCCCCAAATACCTCTCTCTGACCCTCATTTGGTGTGTGTGTGTGTGTGTGTGTGTGTGTGTGTGTGTGTGTGTGTGTGTGTGTGTGTGTGTGTGTGTGTGTGTTGTGTGTGTGTGTGTGTGTGTGTGTGTGTGTCTGTGTGTGTGTGTGTGTGTGTGTGTGTGTGTGGTGTGTGTGTGTGTGTGTGTTGTGTGTGTGTGTGTGTGTGTGTGTGTGTGTGTGTGTGTGTGTGTGTGTGTGTGTGTGTGTGTGTGTGTGTGTGTGTGTGTGTGTCCTCATCCACTTGTATGCTTCCAAACGAGCCCGAGGCAGAACCTAATCTGGTCTCACAGCTCGATTGCTCCACTTTTCACTCAGCCAGATCCTTCACAGGCAGCCTTGTGAAGCTGAAACTCAAGGTGGCATGAATATTTTAACTTTCACTTTTAACTAAGAAATGAGCTTCTAACAAAACTTTCAATGCTCAGCAGATTAAGGCGTGGGAGCTAAGTAGTTACTTCAACTTTTTTTGAGGAGATGGTTTTTATTCCTGAACTGGCAGCAAAAGTGTTAAAATTAAGCGTTTGTGCTGGCTTGCACACTCCATAGCTATAATCTTTAAAGTCTGATTGATACTAAATCATGGTTCCATGGCAGGAAGAAGGACAGTTTTCATCGTTTGGTGTGTGCATTATCTTTATCAGTGATAATGAGTATCACTGTTCTCATTGGTTGGCAGGTGTTTTAAGGATTCAGGATAAAAGGTATATTTTCCAAGTTATTTGCTTTAAAGTCCATCTGGAATTAGTTTGCATGATAGCCCCCCATGTTTTGTATCAATTATTTGGTTCTTCATATATGTAGAATGGGAACTTCTTACCAGCCAATCAAATTGCTTCATTTGAGACCTTGGTGAACAGAGTATTTCCATGAAGGATCAGCAGTAGGCAAACAGTGACATTTCTGAAAAGCAAAACAGCAGCCTCCCACAAATAACTGTCCATGAATTAACAAGACCCTATAAAAAGTTCTTGCCATTGTCATTTGGAGCGACCACAGACAGATTTTCATAGAAAGTATATTTAACTAACAAACACCTCATGCTGAATCGTCTGTTTTATGGCAGCTTATTGTGAACCTATGACTACTAAAGTAGACGATGTTCAACGTTCAAGGTTCTTTGTTTAGTCATACGAACATAGCTACAGTGTAGTTATGCCGAAGAAAATACATCATAGGTCACAGGCTTCTCCAACAGTGCAACACAGAACACAGATAAACAGAAAAATATAGTGCAAGTAAATAGTAAATACAAAAAGAAAAATAGTTTAAAAAGGGAAATAGTGCAATAAGAGTCTATATGTAAGTTATTGGAATATGATATATTAGGTAAATAGATAAATAATTTCTAATTAGCAGCCAGATGAATATTAAGGATGTTGTTTCAACAGTTCAGGTGTTTAGCAGTCTTATGGCCTGTGGGATGAAACTGTCCCTGAGTCTGGTGGTTTTAGTCCGGATGCTGCGGTAGCGCCTGCCAGACAGAACAGTTTGTGGCTGGGGTGATGGGGGTCTTTTATAATGATGTAAGGTGGAAATACTGTCCTTGTTCTGAGAAAGCATTTATTTTCTTATTACAATCTCTTCATACAAGAGCAAAGCACTCTGATGTTCACACTGTGTGAATGTGTGCCAGGATATATGGTGTTAGTGTCACTCTGAAGGAATGTGCAGCAGATACTCGTTATGGCCATGGTTCCTCATTGTATTCTGAGTATGTGTGTATGTGTTGAGGTAAGCCCCTTGTCCATGGTTTCCTTACACTCCTGTGTGCTCTCAATGATGCTTCCGCTACAATCCAGGCTCAATCTGTCGTGCCGTGGCTCTGCCTGAAAGCACAGATGGGCCTTAGACACAAGCTATCGGATCCCAAAGGCCCCGGGAATCTATCAGAGAACTGCAGGAGTAGATTCAATCTTGCGGGACATGTTCGTAACATCTCCTTCATTACCCCCGCACTGCCTGGCAACCATCGCCACAGTCACGGGCTGCTGTTTACATGGTGACCCCGGAGAAACAATCCCATTGGCTAAGCAAAATGCCAGAACTTAGAAAGCGGTTATCCCAAAGGATTGTGGGAATGCTGTGCCAGCGATAAAAAGGTACAGGGATGTTAGAGTGTGAGGGCACAAAGACAGCGAGCTGGAGGGGGGGTGAAAGAGACACAAAGATAAAGGTGCAGGAAGAGGTAAACACTTTGAAGGTAGTTGGGATTTTGCAATAGATGCTACATTTTAGATTGGCTGCTGTGCATGTGTGTGTGTCCACAGGCTGCTGTGTATCTCGAAATCACAGCATGAGCTACCTGCAGGTCAACAAACATTACTATGTTTTAAATGAAACTCAAGTGAGGGGTGAGCTTAAATTACCATACATTACTATACTCGTACTGAGCTAGGTATTTCTGCTGTTATTCTATAGGCCTCTTAAGAAAATGTATGGAAATTCCTCTATGAAGACGAGGCGTGCATAAGCACCCATAGAGATATGCAAACACAAATCCACACACTCTATTAACCCCCGCTAGCTGTGTATGGGCCCCCTACTAAAGAGCTCTCTCTTTGCTCATCATTTAAACAGCTCACATTATCCTTCTTCCAATTTCCCCTCAATGAATCCCTCATTCGATTTTAAAATGCAGGAAGTGAAGCAAGAGAAACACACACACTTTGTAACTGAAGCCAGTGTGACACCCAGCGCTCAACTTTGACAGGAAAATGGCGGGCCTTTGAGGACCGAGTGACTCAGATTACACTATCCTGTAAAAGCAGTTGTTCTGGTTACTGAGAGATTGATTGAGACCCACATGTATCACACACAGGCCTGTGTACACAATGAATGTGCACTCACTCAGACATGTTTTCACACACACATTTAGTAAGGCACAGTGCACTTCGGGAAGAGCTAAAACCAGGACGTTGGAGTACAATCCTTCCACGGTTTCAAAGCTACTGATGCATAAAGAAATCACTCCAAGGACCAGACTGTATCTGTTCTCCTTCCTATTCCTTTTCTTCTTCGTGTTCATCTCTGTTGCTGACTGCGTCAAAGGAGAGATTTGACAGCGTGAGAGAGAGAGATAAGGAGAGAAAAGCGTCTGGACTCTGCACTAACCGAGCTGCACGGGTCTTATGACAAAAGATGCATTCAAAACGACACTACCAATACACTATCTTGATTTATTTTTGATAAACGAAGGCGCTGTCAAGGCAGCACACAAACTCCAAATAAATGTAATATTTAAATGCAGAATGAAACATAGCTGCTTAATTCAGTCCGAGATTCCTCTCTAACTGTTTTTCAACCCAAGGACTGTGTTATCGTGTAGTCACCATAAATCATTCATTGCTATCCGAGGAGATCAGAGTGAATTTATCACAGGAGATCAGAGCGAATGCTTTAGTAGCACATGTTTGATTTGATCTATAAGACACAACTAAGACATTAAGCATGTAAAAGTGCTGTAGCTCAGTCACACGGATGGAGAGAATCTCTGTGGAAAAAACTAATTTGTCTCTTTTACACACCCAAAATCAGTAGGAAACAAACAAACACTCGACAATCAAGCTGGAGACTTGGTAAACATCTGGAACCTCACCATACACATGTGTTTCGGAGCTGCAGTAAAATGCAACCTTTCTGGGACTGTGTACACTCTGTTATATGCAAGGTATTAGGCTATAGAATCCCTTTGATATTACACCTGGGACATATGGAAGGATCTGTACATGTCAATATCAATACCTGATCAAGATCCTCCTAGCTGCTGGAAAGAAGGCTATCACTAAAAACTGGCTAAAGGCGGAAACACAGACACAGACACAGACAATGGGTTAATATTATTGGTGATATCCTAATAATGGAGAAAATCACATACAAGTTGAAAGTAACGGAAGACCCATTTCTTAAGGGCTGGGAAAAATGGTTACGGTAAATAACAAAGGAGTCGTAAAAAACCAAGCAATATGTGATTATTATGTAGATCGTCTCCGTACAGGCACTGTTCTCTCTGTTTGTGTGTCATTTGACCTTTTAAGTTAAAAAAAAAGTGCTGTAGCTCAAGTTAGTGGGAGGATGTGTCAGGTTATACCCAATCCTTCTCACATAGGATGTTGTCGAGGCACTGACTAACATGTGATTCTTTTGGTCTCTTGCTCTTTGCAGAAAGCACGTTTGGCGAGGATACGAATAGCCAAGACAGGAACCTCCAATGCCTTCCTCCATAGCAAACGCAATGGCCTGTTCAACGAAGCTCTGGAGTTCACGGTAAGACCAGCCCCTGCATCTCAGACACCATGCTTCACCTGTTTCTCATAGCAGTTTTCCTCAGTATTAACACATTTGACATTAATTTAAAAAAAAATGTATTTCCGATTCAGATAGCTTGCCCACTGCGACTCCTTGGAACAACAGTTCTGAGGATTTCTGAGCGGGCAATAACTAAGTCATTGGGTGCAGGCCTGGGTTGCCCGTCCTTTAGTCAGGGATTCTTAGAAAGCAGCCAGCTTCCCATCTGAGCAGCTAACTGTGATCTTATTCAATAAGCAGAGCTTCTGATGTGAACATCTCTGAGCCCAGCTGCCCAGCTGAGGAACATGCTTCAGGCGATGCAGCAGGAAATGTAAACACAACTCAATGATGTTCTTTGCCTCACCAAAATGTTGTGGTTCACAAGCACCGTAGTGGCGGCTGACAGCGCAACAACAAAAACAAGTGCTTCCATCTCCTTCTACCTCTATGTAAATGTGTCTCTGTCTTCCAAAGCATAAGTTAGGACAACATCTGAATGGCACTGGTGCTTGAACCTAAGATAGGGTTAAGTATTGCAATCCTATTGATTTCCTTAAAAGACAATATGCTGCAGAGGCTGGAAGCTAATTGTAGAGCTTGCCTACAAAGTATCTAATAAATGTTGCTGTATTGAATGTTTTATTTAAGTGTGACTTACTTCTTTACACAACAATTATAAGGTAAACTGTTAGGAAAGACTCGATTAAGTTCCATATATGTATTATGTTACGAGAATTCTTTTTAAAGGTTTATTTCTTGTAGAGTGCACACTTCATTATAGGGATGCCAATTTCACAAATGAATGATCAGATAATATGGGGAACTTCATTACTCTATAGAGCAATGCATGAACCTCTTCAGTGTGTTCTTGTTGAAGTAGTTTCATCACACTAACAAGCATAGCTTTTTCTTTAGCAACATGCAAGTGCAACATTATGAGTACTTCAAGACCTTTACTTACTTTAATAGATAGTTATTTATTCAATATATTATGTGTCTTTCCATCACATTCATTGCGTTGGTGTCGACTGGAGTTCCAGTGCTGCTAGGGACTGCAAGACTGGCTGCCAAATGTCAACAGTTAACAACTAATTTAAATATTAATGCCTGCTCAATAAAATATGAACTGTTGTCCAAGTTAAGTATAATTCTGAGGCAGCTATTTACCAGCAACATGTACAGCACCATGCAGAGTGACACAGTGTGTTTTGTCGCTCAGCAGATCAAGCTGTTTCCAGCCTCTACAGTATGGTGGCCACCTGGGTGGTGAGCCATCGCCGCCTCCAGACAGACTGCTGATCTGGGCTAGGTCGCATGTTTAGAGAAAGACAGGAATAACTCAGGGTAAACACCTGTGTTTTACTGCTGTGTTAGGTACAGATAAACAGCGTGAAAACAGGTGAGCATCTTGGCAAAGACAAACCGAGACATCAGCTCTGAAATCAGCAGAAGAAGCTTCTGCTTGCAACGCCGGCCGCCCCTCTTAACAAACAGAAAATTGCTACTACCAATCTTCCAAACATGGCATTTTACTTTCCTTACGGGAATGCTGTGGAGCATGCAGGATCAGGGCAGTATTTTGTATATAAACAGCTCAACCACAGGTTCTGCTTGGGAAGACTGATGCAACATATTGAAAGTCTGTATATGTGAAACATTGCTTTACTTCTGACAAGAACAATGATGGCATTCTGCAGTATACTGGGGAGAAATATTCCTAGGCTCAAACTAAGGCTACCGTGGCTAGTGTTTGTAACATCATGCAGAATCATCTATGTTCTCAAGGTATTAGCTCTTCCCAAAACCATACTTAGATGTTATTAGAATATTTACAAATGTTATTTTCTTAATAAATAATCTGAGGGGAATTTCTTGTTGTTTGTTTTTAACTTGTGATGTGTCATTTTGTAAAGCACTTTCAGTTGCATGTATAAATAAAGCTTTATTATTATTATTTACCACAAATCCCCGGTGCAAATATTTTGTGTAATATCAATTAAAAAGGAATTTGATCAAAGCATTACTTAACAAACAGCACATAAGATAAAAGCCTTAAATCATATTTCTTCAATATGATCTTTATTTTGGGCACAGAGCAAGCATTTTTTTCAAAGTCCTAAAGAATTGACAGTCAAAGTATTTGTGATGGAAACTTCTGTGCAGAAAGGATGGAAGCTGGAACGTCTTTAGTCAAACACCGATATTTATTGAGAGAGAAATACAGCCGGAGAGTTCACAAGGCATTTCACACTGTCATGGAAGCAGCCAAATCAACTCTGGAGACAAAGAGGAAATAGCGCCGATACACTCCTTCGAAAGGGGAGGAACCAGAAAACCCGCGCTTTTACTTAATGATTGCCAGACGTCGGAACAAAGGACTGTTTGTCTCGCAAATGCATAGAAGCAGAAAACCCCTCCCCCACAGGAAGGCAGAGGACCTCTTGACCTGTTGCAATTTAAGAGGTTTCTCAGAAAAGCTGAGGACACAAAGGGATTGGATTAAAATATTCTCTTACAGTATTAACTAATATAACAATAAAATAAATACTGTACTGACAAAAAAAGCAATGAACCGCAGAGTTTTCAATCAAATGTTATGTTTGTTGTTTTGTCTTTTTCTTTACTTTCTTAAATGATCCCAGCAGTCCACTTATTCCCTTTATTCCTCAGCTCACCGCTGAAATGAGCTTCGTATCCAAACCCCCACAGAACTAGGAAAAGGCGCCCACTTCACGCCCAGATACCCAAACAAATAAATACAGGCCACGGCATGAATATGGAAAACAAGTCATTACGGAGCTGCCTGTAGCCCGCCCTTGCAATAACAGGAATGAAGGCGAAATGTCACGATGGAATGTTTTATATGTACTGTATATGCACACAGAGTGAGCTGTGCGAGATGTCTCACTTGCAGCACAGATCAATGCACTGGCTCCACTAATGTTAGCAGACAAGCCTCTGGGGCCCAGAATAGTAATGTTTCCTGTGTCTCACTGGCAGCACTGCGGCCTGACCGCTGTCTTTTCTCAGTGCTAACTGTGACCATCAGTAAAACTCTACCTGTGTGTTTCTTTTGTCTCCTTTTCCAATGAAGCAACTTCCATACAAGATGAACCTTTCAGAACAGGTACTTAAGACAGCAGCCAGCCGTGCATCCCCCCCACATCTGATACAAAATAAAACAGTTGTATTACACTTATTTTATGTGTGTGTGGGTGTGTTTGCTGCAGAGTTCCACTGAGGAGGAGCAGCTGTTAACCAAGTCCACCTCTCTACTAGAGAGCCAGCACCACCACCTGCTGCACTGTCTGGAGAAAACCACCGTGAGTGTACACACACCGTACACACACTCACACACAGACACACATTCAACCTTTTATTGTAAAAAAGATCTCCATTAGCAATAAATCTAAAGTAATTATACAACCTTTGTTTTTGTTTTAGCATCAAACACATGAACTAAAAATGTTCCTAGATTGTGCAATAATCACATTTTGTATTGCATAGCGCTGGCTCATTAGTTGCATACTGTATAACTGACAGCCATGCTTAATGTTGTTTATTATGTGTACGTGCACGGGCGACTGCAGCCCACTGTAGCGTGATGTCCGGTACACTGCCTTTATGATACACATCTGTGTATGTGGTACGGACACACTGTCTGTTTCAGCCGGGCAAAACTCAGAGCTTAGCAAACAAAATAATCAATCATATTCTGCTTTACACACACACACACACACACACACACACACACACACACACACACACACACACACACACACACACACACACACACACACACACACACACACACACACACACACACACACACACACACACACACAAACTCTCATTCCTCACATGGTATATTTTATTAAAATGGAGCATGAGAGTAAAGTTAAACCTGGAATAAATGATTTATTTTGTACACTTGAGGGCAGCTGAGAGGAGCTGTCAACACAATGCTGGAGTAATATTATCTGCTTATTTAATCATTGAGCAGAGGAGCAACATCAATTCTTAAAAGTCGTGTTTGTGTCCATCAATTTTTATTTAGTTTTTCTCGATTGCTAACACACATTTCTTTTTCAATTGCTCAGTTTCTCAGAACACTAAACACAATTCACAAAACCACTCACCCAAAGTGCAAAACACCTCATTTCTCCTGCTAAGTGAAGAACTGCACTTAAAACTACATAAACACTTTCCAAATGCAAACTTTAGCACCAAATATAACACACTTCATTCATAATACTAGATTGTTTGACCACCCAACTACACACTGCTGAGCATACTCTAAAGCACTCTCATCTGTTATGGGCTATGCTCTGTACATAGAGGGTTCTGCAGAGAAAGATTGCTTGAATTTACAGAAATACAGTAAAGGAAGAAATACAAATGAGTTGATGAAAAAAATCACATTTTATTCAAAAATAACATTGTGCAACATGCATCTCAGCACATAGCTACTATGCTTCGGATCTCTCTAAGTGTGATGGCATTGTTTTCCAAAACCAAGTTTTTACAGTTTTTCTCGATTGCTAACACACAAAAATTCTACATAAAGCACAATTATTTTAACTGACACTCAAAGAGCAAAACAGCGGCTCAAATCTCCAAAACTCTAAACACGTTTCCAGCTTTTCACACAATTTGCAAATGAACATGGCACTTTGTGCAAACCACTGCACACGTTTCTCCACGTAAGACACAGGAATCTGACATAAAGTCATGTATGAGCAGGTTTAAAACACTGATATTCAAAAGGCCTCACACATGGACCAATGATCAAGAAACACGTTCCACCTGACCAAACACCTGATAGCATAATTGTTGGCTCATCAATCAGGATGTTGGCACCATAAAAAGACCACAGGTGAGTACTTTCTTACAGCAACAATGGAAGCCAACATGGAAGCAAGAGCCAGAGCAAGAGAAAGAGGAAGAGGTAGAGGAAGAGCTGGAGGGAGAGGACGTGGACAAAGAAGAATAATCTCTAATGAAATGAAATGTTATCAACCATGGTTTGACGATGAGAGGCTGGACACAGGGTTCAGCCTAATCTAAGCTGATTTACTGTCGCCTCTGTAATCCGGACACTTAGACTTGAAAACAGGTTAGTTACCAGTTTTCAGCTCTGCATAATTCATGATATATCGGTGCTTATATCTGTTGTGTGAAACGTATTTACTTCATTACTGTAATTGAATTGTTGGCATGTTGCATACTATAACTGTACAAACATCCTGCACAATGTACTGTGGTAAACTTACTTTGATGCAACACAGACACTGACCGACCACTATGTCTTTGTTGTTTATCTGAAGGACTGAGAAACAAGGAGGTGGAAGGCTAAGGATGTTCAATGAGGCACAGGAAGCAGCCGTTACAAACTGGGTTTTGGAAAACAATGCCATCACACTTAGAGAGATCCGAAGCATAGTAGCTATGAGATGCATGTTGCACAATGTTATTTTTGAATAAAATGTGATTTTTTTCAACAACTCATTTGTATTTCTTCCTTTACTGTATTTCTGTAAACTCAAGCAATCTTTCTCTGCAGAAACCTCTATGTACAGAGCACAGCCCATAACAGATGAGAGTGCTTTAGAGTATGCTCAGCAGTGTGTAGTTGGGTGGTCAAACAATCTAGTATTATGAATGAAGTGTGTTATATTTGGTGCTAAAGTTTGCATTTGGAAAGTGTTTATGTAGTTTTAAGTGCAGTTCTTCACTTAGCAGGAGAAATGAGGTGTTTTGCACTTTGGGTGAGTGGTTTTGTGAATTGTGTTTAGTGTTCTGAGAAACTGAGCAATTTAAAAAGAAATTTGTGTTAGCAATCGAGAAAAACTGTAACTGCTGCTTGCCATGCCTCATCCAGCCTCTCTGTCAGATTCCTGTGGTTTGCAAAAAGTGCCATGTTGATTTGCAAATTGTGTGAAAAGCTGAAAACGTGTTTTGGAGATTTGAGCCGATGTTTTGCTCTTTGAGTGTCAGTTAAAAATAATTGTGCTTTGTGTATAATTTTAGTGTGTTAGCAATTGAGAAAAACTGTAATAGTCAATAATTATTTGTTGGTTCATTGCTAGGAGTAACACATGTCTCCTTCAAGTAGTCATGATCCATTGTTGATATTAAAGTAGAGATTGTAGCTGCTTTGAGAAACTGGAAAATAGATTCTGAGCTCCAGTACACAAAAATATATTTGATTTGGTCCAACCACATATGCCTTTATAAGAAATAATCACACATTCTCAGAAGAGTTTTTGACCCATGCTTTGAAGCAGAAAGGCTTTGAAGCAAGTCATATACACTACATGGTCATAAAATGTCACGTCTCTTTTATGACTCTCTCTCTTCCTTCGTCAGAACCATGAGTTTGTGGACGAGCAGTATTACCAGCAGAGCTACCTGGAGGCGGGGCTTCAGAACTATCCTTCTCGAAGCCCCTCCCTCTCCAGCCAAGATGGCATGACGGGCACCTGCTGCAGCCGCCGAAGCAAGAAGCACCACACCCCTTTACAGAACACCAGTGCCCCTGCGCTCATGCAGCCTCTGACACACAAACACACACACCAACAAGGCCTGCAAGAGCTCAGCACCATCCACATCCGGCCCCTCAGCACCAGGTGAGCCCGGCCATCAGGGGACAGGGCAAGCACTACTACCTTTTCCTACTTTAACTTTTGACTTTAACTACTTCAACTCAATGATGTTCAAGTGATCTATGACATGAAATATGTTACTCAGATATATACTGTAAATCACAATTGTGCCAATAAAGAGTTGTTCACTCTCTAGTGTGCCCATGAAGATAATCTGGAAACTAAATAGGATTTTAAAAAATGTGTTTACTAAGAAGCAAATGAAGAGTGGATGACATGCTATCCTTACTACTATAAAAAAAAAAAGATACCCAAAATTCCAGAATAGTGTATTTTACCATTTTGACTCGGCATCCATTTGTTCAGCTGTTTTTCTTTTCAGAGAATGGGAATATTAATTACCTTGAAATATTATTCCGCTCCTCCTCCCACTGTAGAAAAATGTTCTTCTCCCTACTTCACTTTTTAGAAGGGGTTGTTTCAGGTTAGATACACCAGCCATGAGATCCCAAACAATCTGAATATACCCAGGGAAATAATTTGCACAAAGACCTTGTAAACTATTGAAGACCATTATTAGTTTTTAATGTGGTACTTTACCTTCAACAGGAAGCCAATTTCATTTTCAAAATGTGATTTGCTAATAAGCGTTTGTGGATTAGACAACCTCATTAGTTTGTCCTTTGCTTTTTGAAGCTTATATTTTGTTCTTCTTAGTTGTCTCCTGAAGATAAGAAACAGAACAAGTTCCCCTTAATCTTAGTTTGAATTCAAGAGAAAACTGGTTATGTCCCTTACTTAAAAGAATACATTCAGATTTGTCCAAGTGCAAGGATAATTGTTGCTAAGGCTCTCCGTTGTTTCTAGCTTATTTAAAGAACACAACTGGTCAGAGTTTCATTAGCAGCTAAGAGCTATGAAGAGCAGAGTGAGGTGTTGATTCTGAATTGGTTTAACACTACAATCACCATTAACACCTGGGTTTATTTAAAGCTCCATAAAACATGAGGACCCATTCACTGCAGTGGCAAATTAAGAGTTGTGCTTTCAGTTAAAAAGGGGTAACAGAAGGGTTTCTATTGTCCTTTTTTCCTACTTATCTCGGACATGAACCAATGGGTTTCAACATAGAGAAACTATCCCAAGCCTTTCTTTTTCATCCTCCTGTAGCCGCTCCAGTCTGAACATGCGAGTAGACGAGCCAGCCTCCCTGAACTGCCAGAGCAACCAGATCACCACAGCCATAATCAGCATTCCCACACCGCCAGTGACGACTCCTGATGGCGATCTGACCCACCAGAACGTTGTGAAGGTGTCCACACTGTGAAGACTAGAGTGCAGGAGCCTCACATAGAAAGACATTAAAAAGACTCATTGAGACAGACTGAGGGACAGAGGAGGACTGGATGGAGGAAAGGCATTCAGAGTCCAAGTTTGGCCGTGGTGGAGCCTGCCCTCTGCTGGTCATGTACTGTAACGACATGGACTGCCTGAACACACAGAGGACGGCTTTTAGATACAGTGTATTCATGTCATTGATTGGCACACATGTGTGTGTGCGTGTATGTGTGGGTGAAAGAGAGGTGAAAATGTGTATGGATACGTTTTGGATGAGGAGACGTGTGAGAGCGTGTCTCCCAAGTGTCGGAGGTGGGCACACTGTGCACACAGCACCTTTTTATGATTTCTGCTTCAGTTTGACTCATGGTCTATTTTTAGCAGGAGATATATATATATATATATATATATATATATATATATAAGAAAAAATTATACTTTATCAAAGCCTTTTTCCACAGATTTAACCTTGCCCTATTTTCTTTATTCATTTTTGGTCCACTCACCTGTTCGATAGATAAGATAAATATTCCTTTTCAGGTCCGAAATTATTCCACCTGAGTAAAAATCCTTTAAAAGAAGAAATATGGTAGGTGGTGGTCTGTGATGGCGTTACCAATGAGTTTCATATTTGTGAATGAGTGTATGTGACTTTTTGCTAGATAGAGGAATTGTGATGTTTTGGATAGAAGGCACATGTGCCTGTGTGTGTGTGTGTGTGTGTGTGTGTGTGTGTGTGTGTGTGTGTGTGTGTGTGTGTGTGTGTGTGTGTGTGTGTGTGTGTGTGTGTGTGTGTGTGTGTGTGTGTGTGTGTGTGCGTGCGTGCGTGCGTGCGTGCGTGCGTGCGTGCGTGCGTGCGTGCGTGCGTGCGTGCGTGTGAGACTGTGTTTGTCTCAGTTGATTGAACTTGTGTTTCAATTCTTCTGAAAATCTCTATGGCTCAGTATATGGTATATTTGATTAGCTGCCATTCTGAAGGGTCCATTGTACACATTTATTTCCGAAATTCTCAGCTACAAGCCTTTTACACAAAATGTGCCTGTTGCTGGAGTAAAAAGAGATGTATTTGTTTTATAGTTTTGTGAATTCCCCCCTCCTTCCCCATTATTTACGTTCTCCATGTTGGCTGCTACAGCCCTACAGACCTCAACTAACTAAATTCTCTAACAAAGAAACCAAAAACAAAGTACATTTTGAATTAAAATCACTTCTAATAAAAGCACAAGGCGTTTGCTGAGAATTTCTGATACGAATGTGTCCTGTGCCCAGGTTCTTTGTGAATATTGTTAATAGAATATTTTGTAATATTTGACCATTGTTTGGCAGAACCAGTGAAGCTGTCTTCTTGTTCTCTTTCTCCCTCAGTCTGTCTTTCTCTTTTCCTCACTCTCCTCTCTCACTCTTTCTCGTTGTTGTCCTGTTGTATCCTTACCTCCTGTGTGAACAACAGTATGCTTTCAATAGTCTTTATAGCTGTCAACGTTCTTTCTTCCCTAAACTCAGCAGGCATTTTTAAAAGTTGTTGAGTATGTGTACTCTATGTGGTTAGGAAACTTGGTGTTTGTACTTTTTGTCCTCCTTGGTGTTTCAAAGGATTTTATTTACTTTCTCTTCTGGATAACTGAAAACAGGAAAGCCTGTTGTAACAGAGACACAGAGGACACAGGATGAGCCATCCACAGATCTCTGCCACCAAAAACATTTGCTATTCTGTCTGTCCTCTTGACTCACAGCCCAAACATTTAACTTTAGAATTACCCGTCATCAAATCCTATCAAAGTTGATCTTTGTAAATATGGACGGTGACGTTTTTTTCTGCTAACCTGCTATCTGGTACCTTCCTGTTGGCTTTTTTTTTATCTTGAATGTCATTCAGAAGCTACACAGACAGATAGGTCTGGTTTTACGTGGATGATATCACTGGTGTGGTTTCTCCAAGACCGGGTGGAGCAGCTTCAGTCACAGCAGACTAAGCCCCCACTGCTCCGCATAGATGAAATAAAATGTTAACCAAGAGCACAGACAGGGCTAGAAATGCGTAAGAGCGTATTTTTCATAACAGCCAAGAGCATATTTCAAAAAGCAATACAGGAATTGGTCCAATATTATGTCTGCCCACATGTAGCTGTTGTCAAACATTTGTTTGTTTTTTCTGTTTAAGTAGACAAAAAACTGTCAAACTAGCAGCAAAATGTATAATGATCTTTTGAAAAATGTATTTAATCATCTTAATATGAAGCCATCTCAAAAGCTTAACCAATTTAATACATGCATTTGTGCTAAGACTTACAAAAAATACATTTAGTTATATAAATATTAGACAATATGGGTGAAATTATATAGCATAATTGGTAGCCTATCAGTGCATAACTACACAAGACCCTGAGGTCCCTTAGACTCCTGTTGTGCTTTGGTTCCCTCTGATCCAGATGTTAGTACCCCCCCAAAAGAAGCCAAACATATTCTACATCAACCTCTGATATTCCTATGAGAGAACTAGTACTATTGCTGGTCATTTTATTACTGAAACAGTGACACCAGCTGCCTAGATCCATTTATAGAGTGTAGTCAATCTGTCCACAAATTTACCTTGGGAAAAAAAGAAGACAAGCACAGACACACAGAGCTTTTTCACTGTAATTGTAAAAGAGGGGTTCAAGACATTGACTTCATATTCACAGCATCAAGTCTGACATTTAGAAAATATCAAAAACGACACCAAGGGTATGACATAGGGAATAGCAGAAATGAGGTTCCCTGTATTGTTTGTTGTTAGGACAGTGATACGATGTGTTATTTACTGCTTCCAGGTACAAAACAGGCTATTTTGTGTCGGCTGCACTTTCAAATGACACCGTTTGAATTATTATGTTAGCATATTTCCGCTCTAAATGTCAAGTGATTGCATTTTGATTTACAAACAACAAAAACAGAGGTCTTTGATTGTGTTTGTCTCTCTTTCGCTGTTATGTACTCTTTTTTTTCTGGGCTCAGTCAGTTTTCCTCTTTGCTTTGCCCTCCTATGCCACATGTCGTTGTTGAGACTACTGCTGTGCGTATCTTGTCAGGTGTTGGATATTATTTATGACCTTGTCTTGTGTCTCGACTGTGAAACGCCTGATAAAACATCTATATCTGCCACAAATACAAAATCTGTGGGCTCTCTTCTTCACCTGCCTCCAAATCAGTGTGTGTGTAAAAAAGGTAGCAGGTTGTGCATATTTAGCTGTCTTTGTGTTTTTATGTCCCAAAAGTGCAATACATGTGACCACAATGTTCACAAAGGATTACATCTTCAGGCCCTCTGTTTTTGGGGACACCGTGGGATGGAGGAGAGGAGCTTGCTGAGTTCAGAGCGAAACTGTCTGGTGACTAAAGTGTAGATGAGGGGATCCACTGCAGCCTGCACACAGGTCAGCACCATCGCTGATGTCTCCAGCTCCATCATCAACTGCGGAAAAACAGGAGAGCTTAAGATAATATCAAATAGAATACCATTCCAAAATGTACCAGCAGGACAACTCCAGTATGATCCAGAGCCCAAATATTATTTGAATGAATGTTCAATGGGTTTTTTTTGTATGCGACCACGCCCGCAGTATTCGTGTTTGGAGAGTTTTTGTTTTCATCAGGTTTCCTGTCTGGCCCTTTTGAATGCAATATCTCAGACTCCTTGAGTAAATGTCTTCACATTTAGCAGCATCTTCAACTTGGACTCAAGGATGAATTGATTAGAATTTGGTGTTCCAAAATGATATATCATTTCCATAAGGTAAAGGTTAACTTCACGCTTTACAATTTGTACTTCTTTGAGACAACATCCATATGTGAAGCACTATCTACTGTCAATGCTACACATGTGTGTTCAATCAAAATCACCCCTCATTTGCCAAACATGGATAACCAGAAGTGTCTAGTATAACTTATTTTTCTTAAACGGTATGGTATGGTATGGTAGGTCGAAAGTTCAAAATGTCATAGAATATTGAGCCTTAAAACAAATGTAAAATACACAGTATCACAACAGGTCAGAGTATAATATGTTATGAGACATTTAACTTAAAATGTTTACATTTTCAAATTATAGTGTGCCATAAGAGGTTCATTAAAAAAGTCATAGTATAGTTTGCCATAAGAAATATCAAAAAGTCTTATTCCCTATACCCACTGAGCTATCAGAGGATGTGGGTCAGGCTGAGTCTCAAACAAACAGTCAGACTTTTGAATATTAATTAATTGGTTTCATTGTAAATCTCTTTCAATTTGACCATGTTTCAGTATCAAGTGTGAAATTTGTGTTTCTCTGCACATTAATAAAGTTTCCTAGCTTCAGTTGTATGTTCTTCATCTGTCTGGTATATTGAAGATGGTCCAGTGGGGGAAGGATGCTGACTGACATCATGGAGACAGGGGGTTCAAACCCCACTTGAGGTACGTGTGTGTGTGTGTGTGTGTGTGTGTGTGTGTGTGTGTGTGGTGTGTGTGTGTGTGTGTGTGTGTGTGTGTGTGTGTGTGTGTGTGTGTGTGTGTGTGTGTGTGTGTGTGTGTGTGTGTGTGTGATGGTAACATTATCCGCTCAAAACTTGCGTTGCATTTGCTCACCCATTAACACATGCGAATTTCCAAAATGACAACATTGTCCACTAAGGAGGGAACAGAAGACACGTAAGTCCATTTCAACCCAATAGATCTGGATGAAAATGTTTCAAACGTGTTCTTTTATGCATTTTGTTGTAACTATAAATATATGTTGAAGTCTCCCTGTTGTGTGTCTACTGTGTCATCAATGAAAATAGCATAGTATGTCACTAAGTTTAATTTAAGTTGAAAAAGTTATTTTACTATTATTATTTATATTATAAAATAATAGGAAAAAAAGCCATAGAATAGCATGTCAAAAGTATTGTACAAAGGGCATGGTATAGTATGTAAAATAAGTCTAACAAATTTAAAATGTCTAAAAAATTCATAGCACAGTATGTGGAAATTATAATACAATTATATTATAGTATTTAGTAGTATTTATATATAGTACAAAAAATATAGAAAAGTATTTAAAACATTTGAACAAAAAGTCTCTCTAAAATATCTTGAAAAAATGCATCATATAGTATGTCGAAGATATTGGGGGAAAGTCATTATTTAGTATGTCAAAAAATGATGAAAAGAAAAGTCCCAGTAAAGTATGTCAAACACATAATTGCTTGCGTCACACTGAACATGAATTGTGTTGTAGAATGGAGAAATGCAGTAATGAGAAAATCTACTACACTCACTTTGTCCGCATCCTGCCACGAGACGACGTTCATAAGCAAAATAACCAGCATGGGCATCCAGAAAAGTGTGAACGCAATGATTATGTATCCAAAACGCTGAGCCAGTTTCCCCTCCATCTTTTTCTTCCTACGCTCCCTGGCCCCGGGTGTCAGGAGACACACTGCCCCCACGATCTCCGGAAGTCTCCCTGGGGCGCCTTCTGTGGACGAGCCCGCACGGGGAGCCCTTGCTTCGGCCACCAGGAGCACCGTGCGGCGGGAGGGCAGAGGGCTGAAGAAGCCCGGCGGAGCTGTCCGTGGTACCGGGGCCGGGACATCCAGCCACACGTGTTTTGACACTGTTGGCCTCAGCTGGATTCCCTGACTGAACACTTTCTTTCGGTGCTGCCTTACAACTTTGAATATCCGGATGTAGTGGATAACAATCACAGTAAGAGACAACCCCCATACCGGAACCAGCACGTAGGGGCCAAATGGATCCGCATTTTGAAGCCACTCGTCCCCATTATCCCCGTTGTTCTGACGGCACAGCATGCAAAAAAGCGCATTTTTGGAAAGGATCAGAGAGATTATAGCCAGCAGGAGGCCGCATGCCCAGATGGACAGGATCCACAGCCGGACCCTGGCTTTCCTCCTCTCGGTTTGGAAAGGATACGCGATGGCTTGGTAGCGCTCAACGCTGATGCTGACCAGCGTGAGCAGCTGGACGCAGCTGCACAGGGCATAGGTGAACTGCTGCAGGGTGCACACCGACACAGACACCTGGCTGCTCTTTCCGTACTGCAGACAAAAGAGCAGCAGAGGGGTGTCCACTGAGCATTTCAGGAGGTCACTGACCGCCAAGCTGACCAGCAGCGCATTATTAATAGTCTGTAGGCTCTTGGTCCTGTAAACTACCCAACAAACCCACAGGTTTCCGGGTGTTCCCAAAACCAAAGTTAAAGTTAAGACTATGCAGTTAAAAATAAAAAACATTGTATGCACGTCAGTCTCATTGTGCGCAGTTGTTTCGTTCCAGAAATTGTGTAAATCCATATTTTCATCTCCGTTTGACGCTCCCTCTGATGGAGTCTATAAACATCTCTTTGGTTCATCCTAACCACATCCTGGTTGAAGTCCACATCAGTGGCCTGCAGCTCAGAGTAAAACAGCTATCCACCTTGCTCTACAATGAAGATTCATAAACACTACAGATGGCAAAATGGAGTTAGGCAAACACCCTTAAAAGTATTTAAGGGTGTTTGCCATTTATTTTGCCCAGCACTGATTGGTCAGTTGATTAGTCTGTAATCAGGAGCAAGTGGAGTGGTCCAACCTTGCCATGCTCTGCTGAAGAGCCTGGCAAGTAGATTGCAGTTTTTAGCCTCTCCTTGACCTTCCTCTTTAAACACCAAGTTTGATTAGGGCAGGTGATGCGGATGCTCTTTGTAGTCTAAAGTCAGAAGAAAATAAATCATACTATATCGTAATAAGCATAGCATGTAAACATGAAGAAGAGGATATTGCAATACATGATCCATACTGGTAGTTTATTTAGTATTTAGTATTTGGAGCATACAGTTTAGGGTATGGATTTAATAAAAAAAAGTCAACAATTTTATGTGCAACTTGTTGGAACAGAAGAGCAAACATTTAAATAATTATTCTACAGGGGACATTCAGACACATTTTTACAATTTGAAAACGGTACGATTAAATGTCCTGATAAGCAGAATATAAATGTCAGTCTTTTAGGAGTTCCTCCATGTAGACAGCATTCATACGATAGGCTGCCATCCAGTTGTGGGCTACACTGTAGTAGCTTTGGTAACCTTGCTTTTGGACAGGAGACATGGAGGCGTAGTAATCATTCCAGGCTCTGTAGCTGGCTCTCCAGTAAGATTCAGCACTCCAATCCCCCTCCTCTTCCTCCTCTTCATTATCCTCATCAACATGTTCCTCTTCATCCCTTTCCCTCTGTTGCTCTCTGCGCATCTTCTCTGAAACCCTTTTTCTCTGTTTCGCATTCTTTTCTGTAACCTTACTGGATTCATTTCTTCCATGTTGCGTTGGAGCCGTCTGCCTGAGATGCCCGCTCGGTCTAACAGTGGGTACAGATTCAGAGTTCTTGGGCTGAGACCAAGCACTTGCATTTGATGCAGGCTGGGGATATGTTTTGGGTGTAGAAATGTATGATGATGATGTAGTGGACCCTGCCTTTTCTTTGGACACAATGGGTGTTGGTCTAGCTTCAGGCTGAGGCTCAGAGATTGCTCTGTGTTCCCCTTCTCTCATCTGATCTGGCTCATCATCTTCCTCAGATTGCGAGCTTGAAGAACTGGGAACTGCCTTTGGAGGTGGAAGATCAGATTTCCACCTTTTTTGTTTGAAACATTGAGCTCCATCATCATTTAGGATGGTAGACTCTCTATGTCCATCACCATCCTCTCCGCCTCTGAAATCCTTGATGACCTCCACTGATCTACCCAACCCTGTGGTGATGAAGCTGTGGAAGTCCAGATCAGCTTCCTCCAGGGTCATAAACCTTGACCTACATTTCTTGAATGAGCTGAGGGGAGGGATCTTCGGCAGAGCATCCTGTTGCTCTTTTCGAGTGGGCACCACCCGAGGAGGAGGTTGTGGGAGAGAGACCTCTGGAGGAGGTGCTCTTCTTGTATTCCCTTCACTGTGGGGTCCCGGTGCTAGATGGGTCTTCTCTGGCTTTCTTTGAATGCTTGAGTGCTCCATAGCTTCATCAGTGACTTGCTTGGTACGCTTCTTCTTCTCTGTCCTGGTGGAGGGCACGGGTAAATGGCCTGGAGTAGAAGCTTCAGTGCAGACATCCCAGTCACATGACTCGTCCATCAAACTAGGCTCAATAGTGGCTAAAAGTGAAG